TGTGGTTGGGGGCACCACAATGAGGTACGTTGCTCTTTACCTTATCTACCCTCTTCGTTGCTTCTTACCGTGAAGAAGTGAGTTCTGTATTGAGAATCCTCTCATTATGAGGTGTCGCGAGCGCTCAACCTTGAGAGTCGACATTCTTTCTGGGGAGCAAGCTGGTGGGAGACGGGCGTTGCCTCTGAAGGGAAGCACTTGGGTCACGGTCACCATGCCAACCCGTTGGCACTAGTACGCACATGCTTCGCCGCTTGTCCTTTGGTCCGCTTGCTGCACTATAGAGGTCATGCCGACAGGCCAGCCCTATTAGGGAGAGACGAGTACCGGACCCGGTGGACAGTCTATAAAGAGACTCCGGCAGGGATACACGACTCATGCTGTACGCGAGTATAAAAATAGTACTGTCGGGGTTGGCCAGTCCTGCATAGACTTGGGGCACAAAGTTGGGCCGATTGCACACATTCAGACATGTCGCTGAACCAAAGCTTCAGGACATCGACACAAAGTGACTACTCAAGAGGAATAGGGGGAACGAAAGGTTTTTTTTTTTTTTTTTTGTAAGGGAAGGTTCTTGTAAACAGTTCAATTGTTTATTATTGTAAAATTTCATTCTGCAAGCACACCCTCAAATGATTTTATTTCTATTTTTTATTAGTTAGTTGAAACCGACTTCAATAACAACTAACAAACAACTGCAGATAGGAAGTAATCATTCTTTGCTGTGATGCAATCTGTTTCAGACTAGTCAAAAGTAGGAATAAAATTGTTTGCAGGAATCTGAGATTATCTGTTGTTACCGCTTGGCTACTTTCTGACAAAGTTTGATCCAATATTTATTTTATTTTAGAGAAAACTACGGCGCAATCAGGATTTGAGTTTGTAATTGCACTTGAGGCAAAAGGGTCGGTGATGTTGAATGTATATGACCTACGTTTCAGGTCCGGTGGGGTCACGTGGGGGTGTGTTGTATTCGCGGGATTGCCTGAAGTGCAATTACAAACTGTTTTCGTGACTGCGCCGAAGTTACCCCTTTATTTTATTTTAGTCGGTTGGATGCCATGCTGCAGTAGGTCCCAGCGAGGACTACAGTACAGATCGCACATCACGCATAACTCATGAGTGGACATGACAAAGAGGTTGAGGAACTAGAACAGGGAGATGGGAGACTTACCCACAGACGTGCACTCAATTGGTCGATCACTTTCTTGGCGTTACAGTCAGGAGAGGAAAGGAGACTGAGGAGAGAAGTTAGGGAGAGGACAACATTGCAGAGGGCTAAGGCAGCAACAACCAATGTTGAGAGGGCACTAGCAGCAACTACAGCAGTAGAAGCTAGAGCCACATCAAAGGCAGTCGTGGGTACCGCCTCTGCTATGTTACAGGCCTCATCCCAAACCTCTTCGCTTGGTGTAAGTCAGGGTATGTCAAGGTCAACCATGAGTCAGAATGTTGGCTTGCAGGTCAGCCAACAGCAACGCGAGAAATGAAAGTTGGAATATCAATGCATTTCTGCTTTCAGGACAACATTCGACTTGCTGGCTTTCAATGTGATTTTGCATTCTGGATTTCTGCCACTTTGCTCTCTCTCATTGTACTTGTTATCTAGTCCAAATGAATTGTCCCTCTAGCTAAGAGTTATATCCTCTCTTCTTACTGCTTTTGTTTTGTTTCTTCATCTGAATTTTTTCGATGCCCATTGAGACATGAGAGAGAGAGAGGGAAGTTGTCAAGTTTTTAACTTGAGGAAGTGAGAAAAGAGAGGAATGTTCTTCAAAACGTGAGGAAGTGAAGAACCCTCCTGAGAGACTTGCTAACATCCCAATCCTCAACTATAGCAATGACTACAACATAATGGAAGGTTCAAAAGGACGTTGTTGCTGAACCGGACAAACTGCAATATCAATGTTTTTGTAAGAAAAAACATCGAAGAAGGAGGAGGATGAGGAGGAGAATAGGAGGAGAGATGATATGACCAGGGTTGTCAGGCGGGGGCCCCCGGGGGCAAAGCCGGGGTAGGGGTTCGACCCCCAGACCCCCGCCGCCGGGGTGCCCC